GCTGCTGCTGTTGCGGATGTGGCGGTGGAGGTGCCAGTTGTAGTCCACCAGGGCGTATTTGCTGCTGTCTCAGCTGTTGTTGTTGTTGTTGCGGCATGGGACTCATCACCATGTTGTTGAAGCAATCTGTGGAGAGGAGGGATACCCGAAATGTAAGTACAAATCTCCAGATGGGGTTTCAAAGTGTATCAGGACTTACCAGGCGCAGTCTGGAACTGCTGCTGCTGTTGCTGTGGCGAGGCCTGCATGAATTGCGGCTGCATGCCCTGAAGCTGCTGCTGTTGTTGTTGTTGCTGCAAGCGCGGAAATTGTTGCTGCCGCAATGCGTGCAATTGTGCAATTCCCTGTGGCGACGTTTGATGCGGAAAACGGTGTTGGGGAATAGGCTGCTGCGGATACAAATGATTGCTGTTGTTGCCACTCGGACTGAGCATAGCTTGCTGTTGCTGCTGCTGTTGTTGTTGCTGCATGCTCCGCATAATCACTGGCGGGCAAGAGACAGTAGCCGACTGTTGCGGTGTTGTGGGAGATGAAGGTATCTGAGGACTGAGGACATCGCTCATCATAAAATCGCTGGGCGTTGCCGGGCCAGAGGATCGCATCGGTGAGTTCATCATCTGCGCTCCACTGGGACTCATATTGATCATTGGCGATTGCAGTGGCGACTTCATTTGATTTGGATTCGTCATGGCATTGCCGTCGTTCTGCAGCAGATTCACCAGCAGCGGCGACGATATGGCAATGTTGTTGCTGCCCGTCGACGTTGCCGATGGAGGCGGCGGGTGCGGATGCGCTTGCGGATGGGGAGGTAATGGACTGGAGGCAGATGAGTTTGCATTTCCGACTGCGATTGCAGGCTGCTTTGCACTCGCACCAGCTATGGCTATGGGAGAGCTGTTGTTGGTAGTGGTTGTTGTTGTGGCTCCCAGACCGGGGTATGGCGGAGGCGGTGGTTGAATGAATTGAGATTTGTTGCCCGGCCCCGACCCCGGCCCCAGGCCCAGTCCCGGAGGACCCGTTCCTGGCGGCGTTGTGGGCTGAAGCTCCCCATTCTGTGGAGGATTCTTCAACACTTTTAGCGTCACATTTGGCGGAGGCGGCGGCGGTCCCAGTCCACTGACGGATACCGATGTCTCCCTACCCTGCAGGACACGAGCCTGTCGCATGCTCTCGAAGGGATAATCCCTTGGCACATTGGGCGTGCCCGATGGCGAGGGCAGCAGCAGAGGTACTTTCCCTTCCATGGGACACACCGTGTTCGGAGACTTGAAGACGGGCGGTGTAGATGGCGGCAGCTGCTGTTGTTGTTGTTGTTGTTGTAGCTGCTGCTGCTGTTGTGTCTTCTGCTGTGGCAGCCCCTGGCGCCGCTGTTGTTGATTTGAGATTGCATCGTTTGAAACATTTTGCGGTAATTGTACGATCCGCTGCTGCTGTTGCAAGAAGGCTGACGCCGCCTTGCTCGTGCTGGGACCATCGAAATTCGGGGCCGACAAATGCGTCGTCGCCAAACTTTTGTTGGAAGACGTGCCAGCCGCCTCAATTGTACCACCTCCTCCTAACACATCATTAACATTATCTAGGGGAAGAGACCATAAGATTAGACGGATCATCCAAGATATATGCATATAATAATATGCACTGCTGAAACGTACCTTTTGTTATTTTAATATCTTGTCCACCAACTTTCAAAGTTATCACAGAATCGCCTTCAGGTTGCACGGACAGAATGCCGATGGCACGCAGAGCGGGATTGCCCTCGGCTGCCAGTTGACGTAGCCGCTGCGCTGCATCCCACGGGATAGACACCGATATCCGCACAGATGACGGTTCGAGCTGCTGTAATTTGTTCATAAAATACATTTAAATTCACGCTTTTACTACATTTAATTAACAAATTAAGAAGCAGATTCGGATTGTTGATTGATATATCGATAAGAACAGAGGCAACCATCGAATATTAACTATCGTGAGATGTTGCAGCCCTGGTTCCACACAACGCACACAAACACACGCACACAAAGCTGTTAAACGCAGAGAGCACATTTTGCTGCTCTCACAAATTTATTAAAAATTAATACCCACACGAAAGTGAATTATTTATTTAAACATTTTTGCTCGGGTCGTCTGCCCGCAAGAAATGGGTAATTAAACGTTTTGACTTTTCTGTTGTGTGCTGCTGCTTCGTAGCTGGGCTGTGTGAGGGGTGTGGGAGCGGGACGGCTATACGAGACTCATTGGAAATTCCAACAACAATTTATTCAACAGGAATAATCTATGGATTTAAACGGAACGATGGTATGGCTAAAAAAAATAATAGGGGTGACCAAATTCTGCTCTAATCTTCCACTTGATGAATTTTCAATGTGCGGCAAGTGCCACGGACCCTCTGTGCCAGGGTGGGGGGGTTTGCCACAGGTTGCATTTTCACATGCGTGCGTGCAAAGGAGCGCGTTTTCTTTTGTCGTCTCTCTGGTTATCGATACCCCGTCGTCGCCATTTTTCTTCTCTTGGTCTCTTGGAAGGGTGTGCGTGTGTGTGTGTGTGGGCAAGAGGGGAAAAGGTAACCAAAATACTTGCTAGAAGTAAGGCAGGGGGCCAGAGCGGGTGGCTGTAGGTAGTGCCTCAATAAACTCACTAAAAAAAAATGAAGCACACACACGCCGAACGCATGACGTTCAAATTAGTTTCTGCTGCTGTTCAATGGGACCTGCGTGGGTGACGCAAGTGTTCAATGAATGACCCTTTGCCCCCCTCCAGAAAATGTACCGCACAAACAGTGCAATAATCACAGATCAGCTGTTCGGCAAAAAGTGAGTGAAAGAAAAGCTTCTCCCAACCGCCACCGACACCGACAATGCCGAGATGCCTCTCATCCATCGACCTATACCCTACACTCACCTGTTTAAGTGGCATATCATCACACGACAATCGCACGCGTCGTAGATTTAATTGGTAGAATGCTGCTCAAATATCGCATTTAGCACAAACGGTCGTCGTATCGAATGGGTGTCGAAGTCGAAGAACGCGAACGGCAAGAGTAGAACACAAAACACATATCCCCGCCCGAACTGAAATTTATTATTTGCAGCAAATGCAGATAATTCATGTAGCGTCGTCCTTTGCATTTAAACAATTGCATTTTTGCATTATTAATTGGTAACACTCCTTTTTTTTGCTCTGGTACCGATACGCGGTACCAAATCTATTGTCTTTGTTGATGATCTAGAGATTTTTGATTTCTGGTGCACTGGACGACTCCTGGCCGCACAATAACCGGCGGTGATAATTGGGACGACAACGTTGCATGTGTCGCCTTGCCTTTTTGGTTTCCACAAAAACTCACGCGCTCTCTCTCCTCTCACGTTGCACACACTTACTTCTCGCGGGGGCCACTATTTGTTGTTAGGTTTCACTGGATTGGATCCTCTTTCTCATCTCCAGCTAATCATTCTTTTAGTTACTTTATTTAACCTTTGCAACTTTGTTTTTGGGCATTTTTTTCCACTGCCTGCTACTTTTTAATAGTAGCCTCAACACACACACACTTTCGTTCACACACACACACTCATACACTGAAAACGTGCGGGGCGCGGGCAGGGCTCCGTTGGTGTTGCTTTTACTGCTGCCGATTCCGATTTTCCTGCGTCACTTTAATAACTTTTTCCGTGTACAAATCGCACAGCTCGATGTTAACAATATAGTTGATAGCATTCACAGCAAATTGATTCAATTTATTGTGATTTCACTGTCTTTCATGGCATGCATTGAAACTAATAATATTGCTTTTCATAGGCGCCTGAAATTTTTTCTTGTTACAACGATTGCGTTTGGTAGCAAATTTGTAGCATAATTTCACACGAAGCGCGAGCGAATGGACACTTGGTAACCGCACACGGATGTAATTGAATATATGTAGTTGCTTTTCAGCTTATTGCAATTGCTGTAGCAATGTGTTTTTCTTGTTTATTTTGTAAAAAAAACTTCGTAATTATAGAAATTCCACGAACAATAACAACCGCCATTTGCATTCGCCTTCTGTGGTAGCCATTTTTATTTTCCAGCCGGAGATGCCAATCGGCTTGTTTCGAAAATACCCTAAATTTTCCCTTTTTTGAGTTTTTTAGTCAATTTTCATGAATAACATATGATTGCTGACCAGCACTGTAAAATAATAAATAAAAACACGAAATTTTAATTGTCATTTTATTTATTCAAATTAAATTAAACATTTCTATATAATTTTAAATAAGTTGTTAATAGTATGGCGAGTTAGTTTTTATCTTTTGCGTTTTCCAGCACTAGGACGAAGTAGATGATTCATCCCTGGTAAGGACGAAGAATTTTACGCTTAATTTTTTGTTTTTCCTTTTTGGTTTAAACCTTATTTTAAACACAATCCAATAAAAAGGAGTACGTCGAATCTGGCAATAGTGTAGAAAATTGATTCATTAATTGGATAAAATTATGTTTTCAGAGCTGAGGGTCTTATTTAGCTAGTTATATGAAATCGAATACCAAAATCGAGGAATATGACTTCGATCATGAACGCATCCCGATTAACCCATTGTAGACCATTGTAAGGTATGCACACATGAATATCATGAAACTTAAAGAGTTTTACCTAAAAGTTACCGTAGTTTTCTTTTGAAGTGAAACAAATCTACTACAAAATTGTATTTACAGTATTATTTTCCGCTGTTTAATTAAAGTTTTTCATCTGTTTATATTTAGGGGGCCTACGTGGGTTAAGTTCATTACGGTTCCGTATATATTTTATCGATATCTCCAGTCGAAATTTTTCTGCAAATGTGAGTGTTTTTCTTTTTAGATTTCAATAACTATTTAAAAAGAGTCTAAAAAGACCTTTAATTTGATTTAAATTCTCATTTAATAGCAAGCTATTGGTGGGCATAATGCTGCTAGTGCTACAGCACTGCGCTAAATGGCACTGCGAAAATTACGTAACTGACGTCCAATACAAATACTTTTTCTCCTTACAGCCAGTCGAAAGATGACCAACGCTCCAGCAACCTCCGCCGCCAGCGCCGCCGGCCCAGTCCTGCGTGGCCTCCACAACGCCACGATCAAGCGTAATCTGGCCGTGTCCCTTGGTCTGACCGCCATCATAACCGTCGCCTACAAGGTGCTGATCAACGATCCCAAGAAGGCCGCCTACGCCGAGTTCTACCAGTGAGTACCAAGATAGTATATCTGCTCTGTGACGTCCGACAATTCATTTCAATTGCAGAAAGTACGACGCCAAGAAATCCTTCGAGCGCATGAAGGCCGCCGGCCGTTTCCAGTCCTGCTAAGCGACCCTACGCCCCTAGGTGTACGCATATAGTATAAGTCGACGATGTGTTACGTTACGCTTCTGTATTGAAAACTAAATAGATTTCAACTCGTATGTGCACCGCGCTGTTTTACTGCCCAAAGACAAAGCTGATTCCGAGTCGGGACTTAAGCGTTTTTATTATTTACTCGTATTTACAAACTTATCGAAATAGTGTACAGAACAAACAGAAAAATTGCTCACCACACCATCATCATGGCGTGGACTGTAACACATCTAAAACCTAATGGCAAAATCCTTGTAATCCAGTCGGTTGAGGTTGCTCTGATTCCGCAGGTCGCAGCGTTGGATCTCGCAGCCCGGCGAACCCTCGGTAGACAGCCATGTGATCCTATAATGGAGTTCAGCAATGGAATTACTTGAAAATCACTATCAAAGTGCATGTGCTACATACATCTTGTCCACCTCATCCTTGGGGCCCTGCATTTTGCCGACAATCGTACCCTGCTTGCTGTTTTTCACCCATCCAGTGATGCCTGCCTTGGTGCAGCGGTCGCGTGTATCTTTCGTTAGGTTCAGACCTGGCGATAATACAGATTCCCCAATTATTCTATATATTCTAGTGAAAGTGCCGTGGGGCGTGAAACAAAGCCAAGGACAGCCGCAGAGGCAGGCAGCCCCCAAGTAACCAGCCAGCTACTTTGGGTCTATTTTTAGCTGGTGGATATGGTACGAGTACCACCGCTTCCCACTGACCACTGCCACTGCGCCTGCAGCCTTGAGCTTTGCCCTTGCTCCGATCCTGCCTGGCCACACCTTGTACATGTCCATACACCTCAAAGTCCAGTGTCACCAGCTGGCGTATGTCCGGAATAATGCCCATTTCCACGGAAAACCGTTGAAACTTTACCAATTGCTGCGCACTTTTGGGTTATGTAAATCTAAAACTCTTTTTTTGGATGGGTTCCGACTTTCCGTTTTCTTTAACTACACAAAATCAATTTCAAACTATTGGAAAGATGCAGGCATTTAATATTTGATTGTCAATAAAATTGTCAGAATTTTATATAGTCCGTAGTACTCGTGCTATAATATTTTATCCGCCGCGATTGCATGCGATGTTGATTTTCAGCAAACCGTCGCAAATTTCAAACTAAAATGCCAAGTTGCTGCAATTTGGCGCTCTGCTAGCATATCAATTGCTTTCTATTTTGCGTTTTCGATTTGTATTTGCGTATTTATTTTAGCTGCCGATTGTCTGTTGCTTTTGTTCTTGCTATTATTTTTAAGCAAAGACAATAGACACACGGAGGAGAGATCTCTTAAGAAGGCGCCCCACAGACAGCTGGCTGTTTCGGCTGGTACCTGTGCTTCGATGCGCTACACAAAACTGCCAGTGGATGGGAGGTGTAATTACTTCAGTTTTATAGATCTATCATTATAGGGGTTCTCCAAAGTCAGAACACAAAGAAAATGCAGGTAAAAGGTCTTTTAAGATTAAGATAGTAGAATATTCTCACTCCAGGGGATCCTAGGTAAGAGCCAAATGATCATAGATCCATTTCACGTGACTCTATCTTAATCTTCCAATTACTTTTACTGTCAGTGTACAAAAGTAAAATGTCTGATTTTTTGATGAAATGAGTTAATTTTGTATATCAACAAAAGTACTGTTTGGAAACTTTATTTTTTCTCTGATTTCTTTATCAACTGAAAACCGTAAAACCGTACATTCAGACAGATCTCTCCCCAGATCGTCTTCGTAAGCATTTGGGCTGTCAGAAATCAGATGTGCCCTACACGTAGCCATTATCATACATATATATACATATAGTATACATATATATGTATCTCAGCAAAAAGCCACCATTAAGGTATTTATCCGATTTGTTGCTCAATTTATCAACGATTTCTTCGTTTATTTGCCTCAAGATGCCAAACGTTTTTGACCCAGAACAATGTATAGAATAAGGTTTGGTTCTAGAAGCCCCTTCCTTTTTTTGATTTCGCTTTCTGTATGTTTAGTGATGCCAGGAATGACAAGTTCATAGCTGGGGAAACGGTTGGGCCCTGAGACTTTTATACGACCAGACGGCATTAGTATTTATTATTTTTATTTCATTGTATTGTCGTTTGTAGAAAGGGAAATTGAAATTTTCATTGAATAACGTCACTATAGGTCTGCGTGCTATAAATTCTATCCTTGTCTATAGTTCTGTGTGTCCTTGAATATATTTCTGGTCTTGTAAGTCAATGTGGAAAAAGAGAGGTAAGAACTTTAAAAATATCTTTATAGTTCAATATTTCAACAAAACTAAACCTAAAAAGTACCATGCTATATTAAATTCTTTTATATAGAAGCAAAACCATATAAGTTGCTTGGGCATAATAGCTTTTGTGCCTCATGCAGTACTTATATCTTGGTAATTGTATAGTCTTTGATAGGTGATTGCTTAGATGACTACTAATGCCAAGTGGTCTTTGAGTTATAGAAGCTTGAGCATAACATTTATTTCATCTTCAGGAGATAACCTCCTTTGATTTATTAAGTGAAAGATCATCCCCCATTGCTTTATATATTTACAAAGATTTATTCATTTCATTTTGCGCTATATGAAAATACGAATAATGTACAGTATTTATATTCGTAATCGAATCGGAGCGTGTGTGATGGTGCTGTCGTCACTACCTTTGTGATATTTGGACGATATGTATATATATATAGTAAAGTCGAAACTGCAGTGAAAAAGGCCAGTTTCTAAGTGACTAAGTGACTGCCCAAAGACATTATTGGTTAACTTTTTTACAGGTGTAGGTAGTTGGTTAGGATAAGGATTATGAGTAGGATAACATCTAAGATTAGGCCTAAGTCTAGGGCTTAAGGCTACACATCTGACTCTTAAGTAAGCTCGTTAAACGTGAATTATGCGCGATTTAAGATTAGGCTTAGGCATTTTAAGTGTACAACTAGTTTAACAGCTAGACATAGAAACGATTTTAACGGTAACAAACAAGTCCGTATCCGGATCTAAACGATCTGAACGGTGGCATGTGGCTTCTCGATGAGGCTGCTCTGCGCCTCCTTATCCTTCTCCGCACTCCTGCCGAGCGTCGCGTGCTCCGGTTTCAGGTAATAGTGCGGCGGCGGAGGAGATGCTGATGGTGATGATTGCGCCTTTTTGCGGCGCTCTCGGAGGAAGTGTAGACGCACATAGTTAATAGGAATGTCGACACTCTCGGCGCCAGTTCCGTCGGCATCAATGAAAACCCCACGCACCAGGATGGAGTTGGAGCATTTGAGTGCGGCCAGCAGCAGGAACGGTATGATGTGTGTTAGCCAGAAGCTCATCAGTCGATTGTCTACGGATGACACGATCAGATTAAGCAAAGGTATGTAGTTTTACATTGGAAAAATCCCTTTACCTGGATATAGATACACATCGAGTAGATTCCAGATACCGCGCCATGCATTCACCGCCCCAAAGAATGTCATCAGATAGTAAATGTCGCATATGATCAGCTTCAGGATGCCGCTTATCCGACGACACACGTACCGCATCAGGGGATGGATGAGAAACGTCACAAAGACGGTCAGATATCCAATTAGCTGCACAGAGGAAAAAAACACTTAGACAGATGCAAAATGATTTGGCTAAGAAGTGTTTTGCCATACCAGCGATCCCCACGCCGACTTGGCCTTGTCCTTGGGAAATAGCGTCAAGTCGAAGATGCCCCAGACACCGCGCCATGCTATGACCACCAGACTGCCAATGACAAAAACCGAGAAGAGTGTGTCCAGCACATACAGGCCAGGCTGATGGAAACCCTTCAGGAGAAGAAACGAGAAAAGGGAAACACAATTTAAGGATCAAATCACAAATCCATACTTTCCGGGAGACACATGGTATGTTTATGTTAATGATGTGGCGTTTTTAACAGAGTATCTATAGAGTACTTTGAGTAGTATCTATATCGACTCGTCTATTGATACTGAGTACTTAGAACAAGTTACGTAAAACACGGGCAATTCATTTCATAAGCATTAATAGCCTTTTAGTTGCCTTTTTAATTTAATGAACTAATTTATTCAGACTATAAAAAATTTAATTAACGATCGTAAGTACGATCGTAACACCTTTACATAAGTAAGAAGCATATTAAACTGCATTTTTATGATATTTCGTAATTTGTTTTATATCCCCAAAGTGTTTATTATAAAATTTTCTAGTAGTAACCATCTTGGACTCCATAGAGTATATAAATTCTTGATCAGCATGTACATACAGCCGAGTCGATATAGCGAGGTCCGATTGTAAAAAGCTTTGCAACTATAAGTTGGCTGCTGTGATACAATCAATGCTGGTTGCTATGAAACGACCAGCGGTGGCTGCCGTGTAACTATCAAACCTGTGGAACTGTTGAAACAGGCTTCTGCGTTGTCAGCTCTTTATAAGAGCATCCGGATGGGATAACTGGGAGTTTGTGTGTGGATGGAATTTTAAGTATCTTCAGGATTCACTTACGGGTATTTTGAACATGGTGTCCACCTCGAAATAGTCGGTTTTGTGGTCCATCGTTACCGTGTAGGGGGCGGCGCCCAGGTTGCGGAGGGTGCGCGTGGCGACCAGGAAGATGAGGGCTATTGCCGTCACCACGGAGACGATGATGAGGGAGTCGACGCTGGTCAGCCAGTCGCAGAGCATCCAGGCGCCGCGCCACATGTTGACACAGACAATCCCGAAGACGGCGGTGTAGAGGCGCGAGACAGCGTAGTAGGTGAGGCGTCGCTTGTCCGGGTGTATGTGCTCCTTGAAGAAGTTCTGGGTGATGGTGAACACGAAGTGCCCCACACCGCCGATGAGAAAGGAGGAGAGCGCGGAGAGAGGCAGGCTGCTCGGGAAAAGGAAAACTCCCATCAGCTCCCAGGTGCCGCGCCAGTAGGCAATAACGCAGGGCGCCACCAAAAGTTCATAGAGATGGAAATATTTTCATATAATATTTTATAGTATTTTTCGATATCGCGATATATGTATGTGTACATTGTTTTCTGTTTCTAATTGTGATGCTGATGCTATTGGGGGTAATTAATAATAATAATAATAATTAATAGTTACCACCAGGCAGGAGAGAAGCATGTCCAGTAGCTCCAACAGGAGCTCGTGCAGGTTCCGGCGCGGCGCTTCCGGCATGTACTTCTCGCAGTGCATCGCTGTGTGGCCATGGACTTGGCCATGTGTGTGGATGGGCAGGTGGGGATGCTGGTGCTGCTGCTGCTGCTGATGGTGCTGTAGGAGCTGCTGCTCCGACGCCAGCACCGGGGATTGGCAATGAGATTTCTGTGGCTTGCTGCTGACGATGATCGGCGTCGGCCCTGCCGCTGTGCCCATGTCTGTACTCAGCATTTCTGAACCGAGCCGAATCAAGCCGATCCTCTGATCTGATATGCTCTGCTCTGATGATGGGTTGCTTTGCTTTGATTGCTTTAATTGCTGAAAATTTCCACTCCGGATATGTTTGCCGGGCCTTGCTGGTCCTGCGCTCCAGCCGTAAGCGTATCCGCAATCGCAACCACAACCTGAACGCGGCGAGTGCTCAACTGTTTTCGCAATGGTCTCGGGCTAGGCGGTCCGTGAATGAGGCCGTGGGCATTGTGTTCATTGCCAGCTCCGTCCGGCTGACAGAGAGAGAGAGAGAGAGAGCCCCGCTTCAGTGCCACAGACTGGTCCTCTCCGGGTCTGTGTTACCGTGGTTGCATCGCAGCTGCTGCTGATGATAATAATCTGGCACTGATAATTACTCGGTCTGTCTGTCTGTCTCTGGACAGTCTGTCACCTCTCCCTCTCTCCTCCGACTGTCTGCTGTTGCATAATCCAGGTCCACATTTACATCAACGTTCAAATCCGCATCCACCGGGCGATTGGCTCTCTGGAAATGGAAATGTAAAGAATTGTTAGAAGATGGGGCCGCGCTATCCTTATCAATATTTAGTTTTCCCATAAACATGGTATAGCAAAGCAAAGAAAATAGTCCTAATGGGTAGTGTACTGTAAAATAGCTTATAGAACAGATAGTTCCCATAGATGTGCGCTTATCAGATTCACATCAGCCATCCCATCCTATCAA